AAACAAGAACAGCAGGACGAGGGATGCGGCGGACAAGATGCGTTTGGGAACACCGATGTCAGTGATCAACGTCTTCGATGGTATTCGGTCACAGAGCTCAGTGGTTTGATCTGCGAACTTTGCGTTAGAGAAATGCAGGTGAACAAGTCGAAGGTGCTCGGACCAAACTCGAAATTCAATCCCACTTCTTGCGTGAACTGTTGCGCGAACTGGAATGCGGACACGAACGGTATTGTGAGGTCAACAGAAGGGAAGAAGCTGTATACGCGGCTCTTCGCGGAATGCGTGGTAGCAATCCCTGACCTTCAAAACCTCATGGTGGACGTCAACAATGTTCAGGCCATGACCACGATTATACGGGAACTCGCATATTCTAAGCTGAAGAAGGAGTTATCCCACGTGGGTTTCGTGAGCATGACAGTGGACCATGCAGCACAGTTCTACAACAACGGTCACGGGAAGCAATTGTGTGCATCCCGGGATGTGATCATGTGCAAGAATTCCGAGGGAGTTGAGGAGAGGACATCCATCTTCATGATAGACAAAGATCTTGGCAACGTGGCCTATTCATCCTGGATCAAGAGCGTGCTCGATCAGGGGACGATGTATGACCTCCTGGGACAGACTTCAAACGAGGAATCCTTGGGGGACGTCGTCGAGATGATATTGGGATTCTTTGAGGTGATGTCGTACTTTCAGCACGAACTACCGCTGTGGAAGGATGTATGGAAGATCAAGAGGGAGTTCGAGCAATCAATTGTACGACACCTTGCCGGGAACGTGAGCCACACGACGGGCCAGAACCGAAAGCGGAACAAACCTTCCGCACAACTCGGGGCGCCCACGAAAGAAGTGTTGGACATCATGAACAAGATCAAGCCCAGACATCCGCGATCCCTGATGACTGAGCCTGCTGCCCAAGGGTCCAAGAGAAAGGCAACGGAGGGCGAAGGTGACGGTCTTGGTCAAGCACCAGACCCGAGCCGAAGCTCTCAGCCCAACGCTGAGAAAGAAGAAAAGAAGCAGCGAGTGATCGATGGGCGGAGAGCGGCACTCGGATTCCTGGAATCAATGGAGAAGTGCATGGGAGAAATGGGAATCTGTATGAGGTGCGCGAACCTGGCCCACGACGGCGACTGCAAGGACTGTGAAGAGGCTGCTGGGAATGAGAAGGCAATGAAGAAGATCCGGGAACTACTCAGCAGTGATCCTGTTTCATCGGATGAAGAAATGGGGGATACGGAGGAGCCGTCCTCATCAACGTCCAAGGAACGCAAGAGAGGAGGACAAGCAGGGAAAGAAACAATTGAAATGTATAGCTATACCATCAACCTGGTGGAGATGGCTGACACGGCTGAGGGAGGAGAGCTACAATGCGGTCACTCGCAATCCGTGCGGGGACAACAGGACGTTCAAGAAGACGCTAGAGCAGGGGTGCGACACCATTCCGTGCTACATCCCGAAGTATGGCGACGTGAGTAACGTGTATATGCCATGGGCGTATGCGTCTAGTGTTGACCCCAGGTACTTTCCCAAAGGTGCCAACCTTGAGCAGGTGGATGTGATGCAGCTTGGCAAGAGCGTCAATTTTTGCGTTGCTCCTTTTGACGGCGCTCCACTATGCAGGATTGGCGATGATCGCTCGGTATTTGCTACGAAAGATCAAGCAAACCAGCTATCTCACGACCTATGCAGAGTCCTCAGGCACAAAATCGGCAATTGCCGAGGAAGTGTTTTCAGATGCGACGAAGGTGGATGGGTCGACATTGACGCAGTCATTAACGACCGGAACAACGACATATTTCCACCCACGACCTCGAGAGCGAAACGATACATGGGCATCATGGAGGTGATCAAGTGGCAGGAATCTGGACACAAGAAATCGAGATTTCAGGTCCTGGCAGCAAGGTTTCCGAGCATCATGAACCCGAACGACACCAAGGGCGGCCAGGGAGGAAATGACCAAAGCTGGCATGGATCGGGACGACATCGACAGGATGTTCAACAGATGCGATGGATGGTACAGACCTTGGTGCATCCGAGTCACAACTGGTCACAGTGATTTTGGATTCATGAGCTCATCCGCACTGGCAAATAGGTATTCCGCAAGGATGGGTGATTCTCTCGGAGGAGCATTCCATGTGACGTATGTGGAAAATCTGCCAAGCATCGTACGCTGTGGGTTAGTCCCCGGCGGAATCGATGGCGGTAACAGGCTAGCACTGCACTTCGGAGCATTTGCTCCATGGGATGAGATGAACGTGGCAACGAAGGTGACGCTACGGAACGTAAGGAGGGGGATCCGATTGCGATCATCTACATTCCCAGTGCAACCCTCGCGCGGTATGGAGCTGGAGTCGCGGCAAATGGGACATTCATGGTCTTTGACGTGATCCCGTTCTATGAGGTCAAGTCCATTTGGATTGGCAAAAGCAACGGAGGGAAACGCCTGGAGTACGTTGACATCAAGAGAGCGTACTCGAAATGTGTGGAGAACGAGATCTGTCCTGGTTTCGTCAACTCATCCCAAGAGTCGGCTGCGATGTTCCTCCAGAACGTCGCAAAGATCAACGAGAGGATGCCTGAGACCGAGGCAGGTGCCGATAATCTGCACTACATCAAGGACATGGTTGAGCGTGCATGCGATCTCCATCGGGACAACAAGATGGAGGAGTTCGATGCACAGGTCAACGAGGTCAGGGACGAAGTCAGCAAAGTCGTCATACTGAATGACGAGACATGGGAAGGACTGAGGTGCCGGATATGTCCGTCATGTGCGACCGCAATCCCCACATGCTTCTGCTTATGCCTGGAATGTGAAGCGCAACTGATCTCCACCGGGAGGTTCTACATCCACATCAACTCCGACGACGATGAGGACAACCAGAAGCCCAATGTCTCGGGTGATGCCAGGCGCGCACAAGAAGAAGCCAACCATGATGCGACAGCACAGGAGGATGATGACGAGGCGGAGGAAGTTCCTGAAGAAGACGACATGGACACGCAAGGATATACATCCGGCTACATGTCTGAAGAGGAAGATGGCGGTTGGCATTACCGCGACACTGATTTGGCATCACGGGATATCATAAATTCCCAGCGGATGGCGATTTGCCTTGATGAGCCGCGCGAGGCTCAATACATGGCGGGATTCATCGCACTGCAGATGTCCAAGATGTGGGGGATGTTCGAAGGTGGTGAGGAGAGAACGTTGAATGCCGGACTCGAGGGGAGGCCGGGCTGCCCTTACCACAACGACTTCAAGAGATACCCCAACATGACTGAGCACGATCAGGAAGGGATCCTTTTGCCATCAACGGTACTGAAGATTTCTCAATCAGAGAATGTTCGGACAAGGGTCTTCCGATCGGTTGAGGAGCGTGAAGAATACATTCGTATGATGGTGTGCAAATGCGAGGGACTATACACATTCTACAAGCTGTGGATTGCAGCGAGAATCCTCGACGTCACCAAGGACGAAATGAAGCTCCTGGTCAAGGACCGCGTGCACCCGGTGGGTGATATTATTTTCAGATGCTTTTCACTGGCTTTCAACTGTAAGTATATATCATTCGTGAGGGATGGCCTGAACCTTGGCAAATATGGTTATTCGGTCAATGTGAGCGCCATTATTGCGGCCATCGACCCGAATAAATGCGACACACCTCTGCTGGATTGGTGCCTTCGTAAAGGGCATTGGTACCAGAGGATCATAACAAGAAGTGTGTCCGGGCGCGAGAAGCCCAGAAGAACTTGGACGAGGAGTTCCGTCGACGCACTCACCGACTGTCCATTGGGGACAGGTATGCGTGATGCAGATGTTGATTGCGGCACGATGTGGGTTAGTCCCCATCCGTTGCTTGCGTCTCATCAACGTCATTGTGATGGAACGACTTTACATCATGATATGATTTCATGCGTCCAAGATGAATGGATGTGTATATGTTTACATATTCCGACGACTATGACATTCTGGATATTCATGAATGGGACTATTACCTCATGGATGATTTCCTTTTCATTATATATATATTATTCATGGTATCTGGAATGGCTATGATTTGCATTGATTGCTCACCGATATTTCTTTGCCGGTGATATGCAGATTGCTTACGAGCAGGCGCCTCTGTTGGACTTTTATGGCCAACCCATTTTCTATGGATGACGGCTGCGCGATGCGCAAATGCGGCAGCTGGGATGTTCAATGGTGGTCAAATGACGTGACAATAGTGTATTGTATACACCTGCATATGGGAGTGCGCTTCGATTGGTGGATGAATGTTTCACTTTTCATACAATCGAACCCGGCATGTTTCACAACGAATGAACGGTGTAGCGATAGCAAGTAAAAGAATGCACGACACGATTTCGTAGCTGAAGCCGTGGCCAGTGGAACGTTTTGTGGTGTTTGGACCGCATGATGAACAATGCGACCCAAATGGGGGATGTTAAAACCCTCTAGGCCCCGTGCCTAAATTGGGAAGCAGTTCTGAGGTCTGTGTTAGTGTTGCTTACCGAGTTCCATTGATCGCCATTTGGCTCAAGACACAATTGAGGTTCAAGATCTGATGTGTAGCTGCGTTCACACGTGATCGGCATTGAGAGCGGAAAACACTTCGCCTGCGCTGCATTTGTCAGGACCACTGTTGTAACTATTATTCCTTCTCCCTTACAACGGTTACACGGGTTCGGCTATAACGGCATTGACCGTATACACCTTTCTACGTGGTTGGTATTACAGCTGGAGGGTTCGGTGCGCAGCGTCCCACGGGACGTCACCTTGCCGTCTCTTGACATCTGCAAACTGGGCGCCCTTCACTGCGAGAGAGTGGCAGTTTGAATCTGGAGACTTCCACCCAGATTCCGCTCAAAAACAGACAGGTTGAGGTGGACAGCGTGCTGGCTTTATCATCAATCACTTGTTCCTTGAGTTGTCCGGCACCCGCTTTCCTCCAACATGTGTCAAAGAAACAACGAAACGGGCTTGACGTGGCGCAGAGGCTATTGGGATGAAATGGCCTGGAAGTGGTATCGAGATCCCGACAATGGCGCTGGATTTGTGCATCGACTGGACTGCCAGACGTCGGGATGCATGATTCGTGCAAAGACGGCCTGCGCATGCGACTACTTGGATTTGCAGATGCGCCGGCGGCATATTTGCAAGGCGCGCTTTCAACAAATGGTGAGCATAGATTTGGTTTTGCTTTTGGCTCGGACGTCACATAAGCGGATGATTCTCAGAAGTAGCTTAACGGTATCAAATAAACGATATCATAGACGAAGCATGTTTATGCAAATTGAGGCAAATGGCGTAGATGACTTGGTAACTTCTTCTCATGTGCGCCACGGAGTTTTGGTGCTTGGCTCCTGGTGGAAATAGGTTGACAGGCAAGTCTTTTTCAATCTTGTTTCTGGTGATGTTGAGAAGCTTGGTTCGGGTTGCCAGCATGTTGATTTGTATGTTCACTGTCAAAACTACAGATGACAATTCCCTGGGATGTGGTTGTTTGTATCTAGTTACTAGTTCATCTTATTGTTTTGTGGGTAGACATGTGTTTGGATTTTGTTTTTGTTGTTTACTTGGCCGTGGGCCTGTCGGGGCCCTGTCGGGGGGCTTCCTGGCAACTACGCGAATGTCCGCCCACCAACACGCATTTCGACTGCGCATGCGCGACATTTTGCGAAATGACCACGCGCCCGCACGATCGTCCGCGCCGGCACGTATAGGCGAGGCCAAAATGATGACAGCTTAGTTGCTGTAGCTTCCTTGTCGCAGACGGTGCTCGAAAATTCTCGTTTGAAGATGCCTTGGACCCCACTTAGTTTTGACCAGTTTCTTGAGATGCCCCCGTGAGACGTCAAATACTTGAGTCTGGAGTTCCACTTTGTTGTGCAGGCATGGAGGGCTTCAAAGAACCAGGCTGCGCTCCATGTGTATGCTTTTGATGCTCTTGCTGCTGGTCGTTTGTTACTTGTGGCTTGTCGTTTCTTTTTTTGTTGGTTGTGGTTGGTTTTTGCGTTTTATTGGTGGCCGTTTGTTGGTTGTGGCTTGTTGCTGGATGGCTTCAACGTAGTGTTGCAGAATGTGTTTTGCCGACTTGATGCTTTTGATGCTGTTTGCTGGTTGTTGGTGGATTGTAGCTGCTGGTGGCTTGGTCGTCGTTGCTTGTTTTGTTCGTTTGATGTTGCTTGCTTGCTTTGCTTTGCTTTGCTTTTTCTTGCTTTGCTTTCTTGCTTGCTTGCTTTGCTTGCTTGCTTGCTTGTTTGCTTTGCTTTTTCTTGCTTTGCTTTCTTGCTTGCTTGCTTTGCTTGCTTGCTTGCTTGCTTGCTTTGCTTTGCTTTGCTTTGCTTTGCTTTGCTTGCTTTGCTTTCTTGCTTGCTTTACTTGCTTGCTTTACTTGCTAGCTTGCTTGGCTTGCTTGGCTCGTTTTTCTTGGCTTGCTTTGCTTTGCTTTGCTTTGCTTTGATTGCTTGGTTGCGTGCTTTGATTGCTTGGTTGCGCGCTTTGCTTGCTTGCTTGCTTGCTTTGCTTTGTTTTGCTTTGTTTTGCTTTGCTTGCTTGCTTGCTTGCTTGCTTTGCTTGCTGGCTTTGCTTGCTTGCTTGCTTGCTTTGCTTGCTTTGCTTGGTTGCTTGGCTTGCTTTGCTTGCCCTGTTGCTCTGCCTGCTTGCGTGCTTGCTTTGCTTGCTTGGCTTGCTTGGCTTGCTTTGCTTGCCCTGTTGCTCTGCCTGCTTGCGTGCTTGCTTTGCTTGCTTGGCTTGCTTGGCTTGCTTGGCTTGCTTGGCTTGCTTGGCTTGCTTTGCTTGCCTTTCTTGCTGCGCTTGCTCTGTTGCTTGCCTGCTTGCTTGCTCTGTTGTTTCTTGCTTTGCTTTCTTTGCTTGCTTGGCTTGCTTTGCTTGCCCTGTTGCTTGCTTGCTTGGCTTGCTTTGCTTTCTTGGCTTGCTTTGCTTGGCTTGCTTTGCTTGCCTTGCTTACCTTGCTTGCTTTGCTTGCCTTGCTTGCTCTGTTGCTTGCCTGGTTGCTTGCTTGCTTTGCTTGCTTTGCTTGCTTTGCTTGCTTCGCTTGCTTTGCTTGCTTTGCTTGATTTGCTTGCTTTGCTTGCTTTGCTTGCTTTGCTTGCTTTGCTTGCTTTGCTTGCTTTGCTTGCTTGGCTTGCTTGGCTTGCTTGGCTTGCTTTGCTTGCCTTTCTTGCTGCGCTTGCTCTGTTGCTTGCCTGCTTGCTTGCTTGCTTGGCTTGCTTTGCTTGCTTTGCTTGCTTTGCTTGCTTTGCTTGCTTGGCTTGCTTGGCTTGCTTTGCTTGCTTTGCTTGCTTGGCTTGCGCTGTTGTTGCTTGCTTGGCTTGCTTGGCTTGCTTGGCTTGCTTTGCTTGCTTTGCTTGCTTTGCTTGCTTTGCTTGCTTTGCTTGCTTTGCTTGCTTTGCTTGCTTTGCTTGCTTTGCTTGCTTTGCTTGCTTTGCTTGCTTTGCTTGCTTGGCTTGCTTGGCTTGCTTGGCTTGCTTGGCTTGCCTGCTTGCTTGCTTTGCTAGCTTTGCTTTGCTTTGCTTTGCTTTGCTTTGCTTTGCTGGCTGGCTTGCTTGCTTGCTTGCTTGGCTTGCTTTGCTTTGCTTTGCTTTCTTTGCTTGCTTTGCTTTGATTTGCTTTCTTTGCTTTGCTTTGCTTTGCTTGCTTGCTTTGCTTGCTTTGCTTGCTCTGTTGCTTGCTTTGCTTGCTTTGCTTGCTTGCTTTGCTTGCTTTGCTTGCTCTGTTGCTCTGCCTGCTTGCTTGCTTGCTTGCTTTGCTTGCTTTGCTTGCTTTGCTTGCTTTGCTTGCTTTGCCTGCTTGGCTTGCTTGGCTTGCTTTGCTTGCCTTGCTTGCCTTGCTTGCTCTGTTGCTTGCCTGCTTACTTTGCTTGCTTTGCTTGGCTTGCTTTGCTTGCTTGGCTTGCTTGGCTTGCTTGGCTTGCTGGCTTTGCTGGCTTTGCTTGCTTTGCTTGCTTTGCTTGCTTGGCTTGCTTTGCTTGGCTTGCGTTGCTTGCTTTGCTTTCTTTGCTTGCTTTGCTTTGCTTTGCTTTGCCCTGCTTTGCTTTGCTTTGCTTGCTTGCTTGCTTTGTTTGCTTTGCTTTGCTTGCTTTGCTTGCTTTGCTTGCTTGGCTTGCTTGGCTTGCCTGCTTGCTTGCTTGCTTGCTTTGCTGGCTTTGCTTTGCTTTGCCTGCTTTGCTTGCCTGCTTGCTTTGCTTGCCTTGCTTTGCTTGCTTTGCTTGCCTTGCTTGCTTTGCTTTGCTTGCCTTGCTTTGCTTGCTTTGCTTGGCTTGCTTGGCTTGCTTGGCTTGCTTTGCTTTGCTTGGCTTGCTTGGCTTGCTTGGCTTGCTTTGCTTGCTTTGCTTGCTGGCTTTGCTTGCTTTGCTTTGCTTGCCTTGCTTTGCTTTGCTTTGCTTGCTTGCTTGCTTTGCTTGCTGGCTTTGCTTGCTTTGCTTGCTTTGCTTGCTTTGCTTGCTTTGCTTTTTTTCTGCTTTGCTTGCTCTGTTGCTTGCCTGCTTGCTTGCTTGCTTTGCTAGCTTTGCTTTGCTTTGCTTTGCTTTGCTTTGCTTTCTTGCTTGCTTTTCTTGCTTTGCTTGCTTTGCTTGCTTTGATTTGCTTTGCTTTGCTTTGCTTTGCTTGCTTTGCTTGCTTTGCTTGCTTGGCTTGCTTGGCTTGCCTGCTTGCTTGCTTGCTTGCTTTGCTGGCTTTGCTTTGCTTTGCGTTCTTGCTTTGCTTGCTTGCTTTGCTTGCTTTGCTTGCTCTGTTGCTCTGCCTGCTTGCTTGCTTGCTTGCTTTGCTTGCTTTGCTTGCTTTGCTTGCTTTGCTTGCTTTGCCTGCTTGGCTTGCTTGGCTTGCTTTGCTTGCCTTGCTTGCCTTGCTTGCCTTGCTTGCTCTGTTGCTTGCCTGCTTGCTGTGCTTGCTTTGCTTGGCTTGCTTTGCTTGCTTGGCTTGCTTGGCTTGCTGGCTTTGCTGGCTTTGCTTGCTTTGCTTGCTTTGCTTGCTTTGCTTGCTTTGCTTGCGTTGCTTGCTTTGCTTTCTTTGCTTGCTTTGCTTTGCTTTGCTTTGCTTTGCTTTGCCCTGCTTTGCTTTGCTTTGCTTGCTTGCTTGCTTTGCTTGCCTTGCTTTGCTTGCTTTGCTTGCCTTGCTTGCTTTGCTTGCTTTGCTTGCCTGCTTGCTTTGCTTGCTTTGCTTGCTTTGCTTGGCTTGCTTGGCTTGCTTGGCTTGCTTTGCTTTGCTTGGCTTGCTTGGCTTGCTTGGCTTGCTTTGCTTGCTTTGCTTGCTGGCTTTGCTTGCTTTGCTTTGCTTGCCTTGCTTTGCTTTGCTTTGCTTGCTTGCTTGCTTTGCTTGCTGGCTTTGCTGGCTTTGCTTGCTTTGCTTGCTTTGCTTTTTTCTTCTTTGCTTGCTCTGTTGCTTGCCTGCTTGCTTGCTTGCTTTGCTAGCTTTGCTTTGCTTTGCTTTGCTTTGCTTTCTTGCTTGCTTTTCTTGCTTGGCTTGCTTTGCTTGCTTTGATTTGCTTTGCTTTGCTTTGCTTTGCTTGCTTTGCTTGCTTTGCTTGCTTTGCTTGCTTGGCTTGCCTGTTTGCTTGCTTGCTTGCTTTGCTGGCTTTGCTTTGCTTTGCGTTCTTGCTTTCTTGCTTGCTTTTCTTGCTTTGCTTGCTTTGCTTGCTTGGCTTGCTTGGCTTGCTTGGCTTGCTTTGCTTGCTTTGCTTGCTTTGCTTGCTTGGCTTGCTTTGCTTGCTTTGCTTGCTTTGCTTGCTCTGTTGTTGCTTGCTTTGCTTGCTTTGCTTGCTTTGCTTGCTTTGCTTGCTTTGCTTGCTTTGCTTGCTTTGCTTGCTTTGCTTGCTTTGCTTGCTTTGCTTGCTTTGCTTGCTTTGCTTGCTTTGCTTGCTTTGCTTGCTTTGCTTGCTTTGCTTGCTTTGCTTGCTTTGCTTGCTTTGCTTGCTTTGCTTGCTCTGTTGTTGCTTGCTTTGCTTGATTTGCTTGCTCTGTTGCTCTGCCTGCTTGCCTTGCTTGCCTTGCTTGCCTTGCTTGCCTTGCTTGCTCTGTTGCTTGCCTGCTTGCTTTGCTTGCTTTGCTTGGCTTGCTTGGCTTGCTTGGCTTGCTTGGCTTGCCTTGCTTGCTCTGTTGCTTGCCTGCTTGCTTGGCTTGCTTTGCTTGCTTGCTTGGCTTG